ATGTAAAGGGTAAGTGTAAAAGATGTAATTTTTTTCACACAAATAAGAGTGTTTTGTAAAAAAAACGTGGGTTATGTTGTTGTAAAAGGTACATATTCAAAAAAATTTTTAAATTTTTATCAAGAAAGTAAACGTTACAGTTCTTACACATTACATTATATTTGTTTCAATACCCTTTATAGGTATACGGGACTATTCGCTCGTGTGTTTATGCAAAAAAAAAAAAAAAAAACAACAAAAATTATATGAAAAATCTAGTATATTTAAGATTTATTTTCATTTTGACAAGATTGATCAAGATTTATGATGTTACGTTTTGATTTCGTTGTGTTTTAATAGAGTGTCAGTGTATTTGATTACAGCATTCGATAGAAATTCACACGCTCTCACTAACACAAACAAACAAACGCTTACCCACATAATACTGTTAAGTAATAACTCTACTGTTTGCTCACTTTTCCATTGCATACAGATACATTTATCATTCATGCATAAATATACATATAAATACAGTTCCCAATAGTATATTTTTATCATAAGGTTAAATCTATGCAAAAGTATCCTTCTTCCACTACTAAATATATATTGTCGTAACACTAAATTATTACCATTTACGACAATTTTCATCAATTCAATTTGACATGAAATACTCCAAATGAAAAATATGGAGGAAATAAGAAAATGTCGACTGAAAAATGTAAAAAGAAACCATAATCGCATCATCATTGTTTGAAAAAGTGGAAAATTCAATTTGAAATATTCAAATGTTGTTATAACAACAATAAAAACAACGACTAAACGACGACAACTGTTGTAGAATCATCTTGATGATGACGACAACCAACCACCACATCAAGCCACTGAAATTTTCTTTTTAAATACATATAAAGAAAAATTTAAAATAAAACTAGACGTATAAAAATAAAATAAAATTCAAATCGTTAAACCACAACATAACAATGCTTTTCAACTGCACAAGTATGTATGTTTGTATGTATGTAAATATTGTGTATGAATGAATGCAAGTAGTCTCTTGTTTGGTCTGAATATTTGTGTCTAACTGAGACTATTTGCGTTAAAAAACACAATGCAAATGTAATTTGCCCTCTATTCAGAACAACTACTACTACTGTTCCTGCTGCTGCTACTTCACTACTAACATATAGTACTATACATTCAGAAGCGCCACTTAATAGCTGGAAGCAAAAAATACTCTATACACATACATACACTCTTATATACAGACATTGAAGCAAACAGTCATCTATCCGTCTTTTGATATGTATTTTTTTGTGTATACAGTCCTTCAAAAGAAGGATGTTTTTAAGTAAAAGGTATTGTCAGTTTCCTCAAAAACAAAATTTCATTAGACTTACAGCCAATGTACTAGACTGTAAACAAAACTAAAATCATTACCATAAACCAGTCTATAGTCGAGGCTAAACACGATCTATGGACTAGAGTATATGACAGATTTTAGTCGAAACCATAGACTAGACAATTGTCGAGACAACCGAACAGAATATAGTCAAAACTAAAAACCAGACTATAGGCGATACCAGACAACATTCTCGAGTAGATAATAAATTCTTGCCTAGAATATAACAACAACAGACTTGACTACAGTCTCGACTAAAAATCAGACTACATTATAGACTATAATAAAGAATATAGTCAGACTTTAAGCGAGATTTTGACCAGATTATTGTCAAAACTATAGACTAGTATATAGACCAGACATTAGTGGATTCTACAGACTAGACTGTAGACAAGACTCTAGTTGAGATTATGAAGCAGACCAGATATAATCCAGATAAGACTGTAGTTGAGAATTTAGACCTTCTTATTTCCAATAATCAAGAATATAGCCGGAATATAGTCGATATAGGCCAGACTCTAGTCGATATTATAGATCAGACTATAATCATTAATATAAAATAGACTCTAGTCAATACAATAGACCTCAGTCTAGTCAATACTATAGACTAGACTCGGGACTACAGATCAGACTATAATCCAGATAAGACTGTTGTTAAGGTTATAGACCTGCCTATGTACAACTTTATAAACCATACCAGACAGTCGATGATTAATCCATTATTTTCCACTCTGATCACATCACTATTGTCAAGTGTTGGTTGGTTTGGTTTGTTGGTTGCCTGCTTTGTTGTTGAAAGTAGGATGCATGGTCGGTGTTGTATAGATTTCCGTTGCATGCCAAATCTACAACTCATACACAAAAACACACTGATACATGAAAAACTATTTGTTAAAGGTTCTAGCAATGTATGTTAGTTAATGTGTGCATGTATTTTAGTTTACATTTAAGTTTAGGCGACCTTGTTGAGAAAATGTCGTCTTGTACTCCTACGTCTTGCAGCAGCTCAACAAAAAAATTCAAAAGACGACTCTTCCTAGTTGCTGTTTAAATTTATATTTATTTATAGTCTTTATGGTTTTTGTGGTACACAAATGCTACGAAATTTGTTTACGACTCAAAAACTCAAAAAATACAAAAAATGCCTGAAAAGCACTGCTTACAACCCTCAGCAGTAGTTATTCAGTTGCAGTAAGTACATACATAAATACTCACTAGTATAATAAATACCTGACTTGCATCCCAGACTTTTTCGTTTTTTTTTTCATACTTTTAGCTGTATTTTGGTATAATGACATACTTAGTGGCGCGAAGTAAATAATGATGCTGTAGCTTTATCTACATGAAATTTCCATTTCTTGTTGAACAGCAGAGACTCAACACAGAAATATGATCATGAACTGCCACCGCAAGCCAAAGAGACTTGCAATAATATTAATTTTCCAAAAAAAGAAAACCCAGCAGGGGAGTTTAAACGAGTGTAGGACAAAAGTAAAGGTAAGCAAGATATATAAGATACAATATTTTCCATTTTTCAAAATGAACTAAGAAGTATTATTAAAGGTAAATTAATATTTATTAAATGATAAAATTTGAAAAAAATTGCTAATTTGTTACATAACCAACCACAAATCCTTAACTACCTTCTTTATACCGTACAGTTATCAAAATATAGCCAATGCAATAACTAATGGTGTGAATCTGAATTGAAAAGGAAAAGAAATAATAAAAATATATTCTACTTTGGCAATCGTTTGCTAAAGGGAAAAATATCCGTACAAGTTGCAAACTTTTTACAAATTTATTTTATTACATATTTATACAATTTTTTCCTATACATTTTAGTTTCTGTTACAGTCGTCCTTTGAGTATATTTTCGTGTTGTGTCAGTGTATTATATTTGCATTATTTCGTAGATATTGCAATTGGATTGGATTGAAATAAATATGTCATCATACGAGTATATGAGCAAATTTTTTACCTTTTAACTAGATATTTATATTTGCTACAAAGTTGAGGTAGTTTTTTCGAGGAGAATTTTTAAATTTATGTTTGTGCGTGTGTGTTAGGATTTCTTTTATATAGATTCAATAACATGTTGTAAAGGTATTAAACCATAATTTTGGTTGGTTAGAGATCTCAAGGTAAATTTATACAAAATTTATTTATAATATCAAGAGTGAAAAGAAAAAGGAATAGCAGATTTAAAAATATTGCTGAAGTAGGTAATAAAGCACAGAAAAATGTAATGAAGTGAAAAATAAGCATAATATTTAACGAGAACTGTGTACATGACTGCAACAAGTCATTTTTGTAAGTTAAGCATGGAAAGCAAAAAATGCAAAGCATATTTTAAGGTGAATAGAATGCAGTGGAAGTCCTGTCTATAATATCTCATAATAATACAAAACGTGAAAATTTAAGGTAAGTAAAAATATGGTTATAATAACATATGAGTATAAACTTAATAGTTAGATTTATGTTTACTTAAAAAAGATTGCGAAATTTGAAAAAATATGTTCATTAAGTTCACGATTTTTTGTAAAATATATTACGTATTAGAAGTTTGTGTAAAATAACTCGTTTTCTTTCTGTTTTCCCGAAATTTTAGACTAGACTATAGACTGGACTATAGACTGCACTATAGACTAAACTATAGGCTAGACTATAGACTCGACTATAGACTAGACTAGACTACAGACTAGACTATAGACTAGACTACAGACTAGACTATAGACTATACTATAGACTAGACTATGGACAAGACTATAGACTATACTATAGACTAGACTATGGACAAGACTATAGACTAGACTATAGACTAGACTATAGACAAGACTATAGGCTAGACTATAGACTAGACTATAGACTAGACTATAGACTAGACTATAGACTAGACTATAGACTAGACTATAGACTAGACTATAGACTAGACTATAGATTAGACTATAGACTAGACTATATACTAGACTAGACTATAGACTAGACTAGACTATAGACTAGACTATAGACTAAACTATAGACTAGACTATAGACTAGACTATAGACTAGACTATAGACTAGACTATAGACTAGACTATAGACTAGACTATAGACTAGACTATAGACTAGACTATAGACTAGACTATAGGCTAGACTATACTAAACCATTGACTAGAATATATACTACACTATAGACTAGACTATATACTACACTATAGACTAGACTATAAACAATACTATATACCAAAAATAATTCAAAATTTTTCTAACTGTATTTTAATCTTCAACCAAAAAACAACACTTCAGTTAACAAGATAATAATGAGTATTTTAATGCAAAACTAATCATGTTTTTAACATAATTTACCAATTATTTACTCGATGATCCTAAAGGTATACTTCATTATCTTCTCATGCCCAGAAAAACAAGTTATTATTTATTGGTATAGAAAGTGACAAAATAATCTTTTTTTGTCACCATCGACAATGTGTGTGACTAAAATGATTTTTTCGATTTGATTAGATTAAAATTTTTTCACTATGTACATATATAAAAACAAACAAATAAATAAACTATAACAAGAACAACTAAAACTTGTTACTAATTTATAGAATTTAAGTAAAATGACTGGAAGAATTTGTAAACATTTTAATTTAGACTGTGGAGGTGTGAATATCAATCAGTGTTAGAGTTAAGTGCGTTAGACAGATAGTAAAATTTTTAAAATGTTAACAACAATTATAGCAGTAATAGCTTTAGCCCAGTTATCATTACAGGTGTGTCTTTGTTGAAGATTAATAAAATTATTAAATAAAGAAATTTGCATTATAACTGATAAAAAAATATATAAACAATAATTATTATTGTAATTAAGTGCTATCTGTTTAAAGTTTAAATAATAAAAAATGCTTTTGTTTGTATGTATTTAGGCTAGCACAGCCTATGATCCCTTTTACGCGGCCGGAGTGGTGGAATTCAGACCCTCTACTAGCCTTACCGCCGAAGCACGCATGCTAGACAATCTTAAGGGTTATTTGTCTATTTTAGAATCGGAAGATGCTAAAAATCTCGATGTTATAGTATTTCCCGAATCTACGCTTAATAATAATGAAGAGGCCACATTTGTACCCAATCCGGCCAAAGGTTTAATAATCCCCTGTAATGTGAATACGGGAGAATATCATGATTTATTGGTGCAATTATCCTGTGCTGCCAGAAAGTTAGCCTCTTATGTGGTGATTAATTTAACGGAAAAGGAATTGTGTTCAACAGTTCCAGAGGACACACGCCCCTGTGCCAGTAGTGGCCTAAATCTGTACAACACCAATGTCGTGTTTGATCGTAATGGAGCGGTTTTGTCACGTTACCGCAAAGTCCATTTATATGGTGAAAATAAGAATACCACTTTTGCACCCGAAACCGGTTGGTTTGATACAGATTTTGGTGTACGTTTTGGTCATTTTATATGCTTTGATATATTGTTTTACGCGCCAGCAGAATCTATGGTCCAACACAATGGCATTAAAGATTTCATATTCCCCTCTATGTGGTTTTCGCAATTACCATTTCTAACAGGTGAGTGAGTATCCGGGCAGAAATCAAAATGATTCAAGAATTTTTTAATTGCTTTTTTGAAGTATTTAAAAATAGTGTTTGAAAAACAATTTTAGAGTTTATGACCTGTTTTGCAATTGAAAGCGATAAGAAGTTTGCTATCAAAAAACGTGTATATCTTTAACAATTTTGTTTGGGTTTCTATTTCTATGAATATTTTTAGCGGTCCAAGTACACCAGGCCTGGTCTTATGCCAACAATGTTAATTTATTAGCAGCGGGTTCATCGAACCCTTTGGTAGGTTCTACCGGCACAGGAGTTTATAACGGTCGTAAGGGTATTATTACGGCTAAAATGAATCAGGGTTTGGGAGAGCGTAAGCTGTATATAGCCCATGTACCCAAATATCGTCATTTAACCAAAAGATCTTTACCTTTAAGTCCTATCAATCAAAAAAAACTAGCTTTGCCTAATATCACTTTAAAAAGGGATTATTTGCAAAGTTATGAATCCGTACCTCTCAACTTGACTGCTGGTAATAGTGTTAAGCATGAAATGTGTTTTTCCAATTCTTCATTTTGCTGTAAATTCGAAATACAATGGCAACCTTTGTTGGCTGAGAAGGAAAATAAATTCTATCAATATCGTTTGGGTGTCTATGATGGTTTGCGTAATGAAGTGGCGGCCGAAACTAATCAACTTAAAAACTGTGCCTTATTTAGCTGTATAGGTGAAGATATAATGGACTGTGGCAAAACTATGGCCACCGACATCGATGTAGTATTTGAAAATATCACCATTACAGCCACTTACCCCAAGGCTGAACAATTTTTAATTATGCCCAATAGTTTAACTGCTGATATGATGCCGGTGCCAGTAAATCACTTCAAATGGGAAGAAACTGATAAAAAGTAAGTTTTTTATTTGCCTCTTAACCAAGCTTAGGCTAATGATTACATTAAGTAATGATTCAAAAAAATCTAATTACAATTAGATGAAATTGAGAAATACCAATTAGAAATAATTATAATTGGAATTATTCCATTTATAATACTTAAATTACAATTACAATTTAATAATTATCAAAAACAATTACTTTTAATGCAATATAATGCATAATGTAATTAAGTTCCTTCTAGTCTATTCTTAAGAAAACAAAATGTCTATAAAATTAATTAAATCGTAAATCTTTTTAGAAATACTGTACAAATGCGTTATGAACTTAATACCACCACCCCCAATGTCATGGCCTTTTCTATCTATGGCAATTATTATGACTGCATTGTAGACATTAAACCAGACGATGAGGATGACAACAAAGGCGATGGTGGAGATGGTGCAGCTGGTAGCTTAAAGAACTCTTTAGTTGTTATAATAGGAATTTTCCTAATAAACTTGTTGTTATAAATAATCTATAGATTAGTTCTTTAATAAAAAAATTCACGCTCCTTAAAGTAGATAATAAAAAAATAGTTTTGAAAATAAAAGCAAACAAGTTTATAACTCATTAACAACTGATTATTGGGCAAAAAAAGTTTTTTAATCATTAAATATCGTATACCTATATAAAGAGAGTAAGAGAGTAAGAGCGGGAGAGTCGGTAGGTATATAAATCATAAGATATTTGTAATCTTTTGTAGTCGTATTATAGTTTAAATTGTATATTAAGCAGACCTTACTTAAAAAGTATTAAACAGTATTAAAAAGTTGTTGGTTCAAACAACTACTTTTAGGGGGAATAATAAGTGAAAATAATGAAATTTTTTATATTTTTAATAAGTGTTTTATTAATAAGTTTAATCAGTACAGTAAGTTAAAGTAATTTGTTTTATTAACATGTTATTAACAAATACTTCTTTCTGTTTAATGAAAAAAAAAGGTAAAAACTGATGACTCTTATTATACAGCCGGAGTGGTGGAATTTAAACCCCAAGTGGGTGGCATGAATTCTTCCCAATTAATGGACGAACATTTAAAAGCCTATTTGGATATATTAAATTCCGATGAGGCCATTGATACAGATATTATAGTATTTCCCGAGGGCACTTTAAACAATTCATTTAATCTCACCTATGTACCAAGTGTCTCAGATAATATTATACCTTGTCTAACAAATCCTCAACAGCAATATGCCGATTTCTTTGTACAATTATCCTGTGCAGCTCGCCGTTTGCGTAAATATGTTGTCATAAATTTAACGGAAAAAGAAAACTGTCCCTCGACACCCGAAGATTTACGACCTTGTGCCAGTAATCAATTAAATATTTTCAATACAAATGTGGTATTTGATCGTGAGGGCCGTGTGGTGTCACGTTATCGTAAAGTTCATGTGTATGTGGAGAATAAAAATACTACTTTAAAACCGGAATATGCCATATTTGATACAGATTTTGGTGTACGTTTTGGTCATTTCATTTGCTTTGATATGTTGTTTTATACCCCTGCCCAAGAGTTGGTCGATCGTTTTAATATTACAGATTTCATATTTACCAGCCTTTTCTATTCGGAATTGCCTTTTTTGACAGGTAAGTGTAATTTTCAATATGTTATGAACAAGATTTAGAAAAAGAACCGATATCGAATGCATAATCTTTTAAAAATTTCCCAGTAATTTTGGTAAATAATAAAAATGTGATTCATTAGTTTTTCAAAGAAATTTTAAATTTAGTTTTTCAAGTGCAAGCTTTTCAATAATCAAATTTCTAAGAATATTTTTTTTGTACAACTTTGATAAATTTAATATTAGTACATATTATTTTGTGTATAAGACAACCCCTACCTAATTAAATAGGTGAAATTATGTTTGTACATATTTCTCTTGGCGCTCTTTATAGTTTAAGATCTCATTTCATGCTCAGCGTGATCATATTTCATTCAAAACAATTATAAGAGAGTAAATCGTATGATTTTATGTTAACTAATATAAGAGAGGAATTGAATTCGAAGGTAATATATGTTTGGTTTTCTCTATTTTATATATGAGAATGACCCCTGAACCGAATTGTATTAAGGCTGTTCAGTGAAGAAAATTTTATTTTAAATAAAAAATCTTATTTAGAAAAAAACAAAAATATTGAAACAAAAAATTTAAGAAAAATATTAAATAATGAAATACAAATTACTTTGCAGCCGTTCAACTACAACATGGTTGGGCCTGGGGTAATAATGTAAATTTACTGGCCGCTGGCGCTAGTTATCCTGAATGGGGCATGACTGGTAGTGGCATATATGCAGGAGAATTTGGAGATCTAGTTTCCGTTATGGTTAGTGATGTGGGAGAACGTAAACTCTACAAGGCTAGAGTACCAAAAAAAGGCTCTAAATACCAACCACAAAACACAAACCCTACAATTAAAAACCCGCACAATGTAACAAAACTACGCCTCTTAAAAGATCCCCAAATTGAAAATTATAATTCTGTAATACTAGATATAAGTAGCGAAGAGAAATACATCAAGAGATTTTTGTGCGATGAAGATGTATGCTGTACATTTGAAGTAACTGCAAAAATTTTAAATGAATCCCTCGAGCAAAGCTTAAGATTTCGTGTGGGTATATTTGATGGTCGGCGTACTTATGAAAAGGAGGAATGGAGTGATATTAAAGTATGTGCTTTATATGCCTGTGCCAATTCAGAGCTCAGCAGTTGTGGTGAAGCTGTAGTAACCAACAATGTGTTATTCAAAAGCATTAGCATTAAAGGCAAATTTCCAAAAGGAAACAAACTCTTGATAATGCCCTCCATTTTGGATGATCAATTGTATCCCCTGAAACGTAGTGATATAATGTGGTCGAGCAGAAAGCCATAGTATGTATTTTGTTTTGGTTTTTTTTTTATATTTTCTTTTAATTAAAATACGTTTTATTATTTATAATTTCAGTCAAGTCTATGAAGTGGACTTGAAGTTATTGCAAGAACAGACTAACATTATGACTTTCGGCATTTATGGCCAGTATTATGAGAAGTCTGCTGCGGTTTCCACAAGCGCAACAACACACATCTTAATAATTACTTTCTTGTTATTAAATTTACTGGGATTTATAAATTTGTAAATTTTATTTAAAGCTAAAGAAATTAAAGAAAAACACATTGTTATAATGTTATTAAAAACTTTATATTTCTCAAAAACTTTTTGCATTTAAAAAAATTTCATTCATTAACCCTTATATACATATATTATTTTTTGCAAAAAACATAATTTTTACATTGCAGCTTAAAATGTGTATTTGCTCAATTTCAACAGCAAAAACGTAGAAAAAAAAAAACTTAATTAAAATTGTGTTTTTAATGCAATTAAATGAGTCTCATTTAGGTTGTTATGAAGTGGAAATAAAAAAAAGAAAAAAACTTTTTTTATATACCACAATGTTTGCTGAAAAGAAGAGTAGACCGCTCATTAGATTTAGAGGGTTTTTTTCAGTACACATTTTCTTGCCAACAACATTTTCACTTTTTATGACAAATTTTACGTTAAACATTTAATCGTATCTTATAGATGCTAGTGTCCTTAACAGGATTACAACAAAATTTGAGTTTAATCGCAAGCAGTAGAGGCAACGAAAAAGAAAGAGGACCGTATTTAAAACATTATAATGATGCTAATAAAAACCACAGGAGTCGTATGTCATTTACACTCAAATTTTATCCTTCTTGCCATCTTCCCTTTATGTTTTATTTATTTATTTATTTTTTTTTTTTTTGGTAAAAATGGGGCAAAATATGAAATATTTCGTTAACCATGTGAAATTTATTTGTTCATAAATTTGAATACTTTTCTCAAAGACTCTTTAGTTAGTGTTTTGTATTATGTTATTTTTTAAGGATTTTTTTTATCTAAAATTTCATTTTTATGGAAATTTAACAAGGCATCCTTAAAAAAATCTAAAGTTTATTTTAGATGAAATTTATACATGTATATGTGATACATACATACACATTAACCCTAAAGTTGGCAACAAATAAAATGACAACAAAAAAATTCAGATTATAAACCATAGACCGGAAAAACATCCAGACTATATACTAGACTAAAGTCCAGATTATAGTCTCGACTAGATTATAGTTCAGACCACATATTAGATAATAGTCTTGAATATAAACTAGACTATGTACCGACTATAGTGTCAAGATTATGAACATTGTTCATAGTTTGTTCATTGAACAACTATAGTCGATACTATGAACCTATGTTTATACTATGTCCTGACTGTATTCTAGTTTAGAGGTATAGACTCCAGACGGAACGAGAGGAGAGGGAAAACGAGAGACGAGACGGGAGCCGGGCGAGAGAGAGACGGGAGCGAGGGAGCGAGAGAGCGAGCGAGCGAGCGAGCGAGCGAGCGAGCGAGCGAGCGAGCGAGCGAGCGAGCGAGCGAGCGAGCGAGCGAGAGACGAGCGAGCGAGCGAGCGAGCGAGCGAGCGAGGAGCGAGCGAGCGAGCGAGCGAGCGAGCGAGCGAGCGAGCGAGCGAGAGAGCGAGAGAGCGAGCGAGCGAGCGAGCGAGCGAGCGAGCGAGCGAGCGAGCCTATAATCTATCTATCTATATATCTATCTATCTATCTATCTATCTATCTATCTATCTATCTATCTATCGATCTTAGCTATCTATCTATCTATCTAGCTATCTATCTATCTATCTATCTATCTATCTATCTATCTATCTATCTATCTATCTATCTATATATCTACTATCTACTATCTATCTATCTATCTATCTATCTATCTATATATCCTAGTCTATCTGTCTATCTAGTCTATCTATCTATCGATCTATCTATCTATCTATCTATCTATCATTCTATCTATCTATCTAAAGTCTATCTATCTATTCTATCTATCTATCTAGCTAGCTATCTAGCTATGCATATCTAGCTATCTATCTATCTATCTATCTATCTATCTATCTAATCTATCTATCTATCTATCTATCTATCTAGCGATCTATCTATCTATCTATATATCTATCTTCAGCTATCTATCTATCCTATCTATCTATCTATCTATCTAAATCTATCTATCTATCTATCTATCTATCTAGCTTCTATCTATCTATCTATCTCTCTATCTATCTAATCTATCTTATCTATCTATCTACTATCTATCCTATCTATCCATCTATCTATCTATCAGATGGCGCCGAAGTTTTAATTTTTTGTGAATTATACATAAACCGCTAAACAGATTATTTTGAAATTTGATTTGACCATAGTCCAAACTATAGTCTCGTCTATCAACTATATAGTCTACTCTATAGATAAAACTTGTCCACACAACAAAGTGTCGTCTAATGTGTTTTATATTCGAAACAACAAAAACACCCTCTGTTGAAACATTTCAAACAGCCCAAGGGTTAATTAAACACACAAACAAAAATAAAAACGCGGCAAAACAAAACAAAAAATTTATATATTAAATGGAATGAAAGCAACAGTCAGTGGCTCCTTTCTCAACATTTCACATGGAGTCAAATACAAACATCAATGCTCTCGAACCAGCATAAAAAGCCACGCGACCTAGAAGCACATAAATGAAATGAAACCACTAAATATATGTATATATGTATGAGTGTATTTTCATATGTAAATGTGTGTATGTGTGTTACGAGTATAAAATACAAAACGAACAAATAATAAAAACAAAAAAAATCTAAACATACAACAAAGCAACAGCAATAGTAGAAGAACAAGAAGAATTTTAAACAAAAGTAACAACAGAGACCTGGAGAGTGCAGAGAGAAAAATCAAATGAAAAGCGACAGACCCAACGTTAGATAGTGGAACAAATTGACTGACAACAAAACAAATGAAAATACCATTGAGTCAGGTTAGCAAAAGCAGTCAGCAAGCAGGAGAGCGGGAATATTGCTGCTGACTGTGTGCTGCTGATGGTGGTAGTGTTGCTGATGGGCCACAATGCAGGCCAAGTACAAGTACACCCTCATCATCTTGCTCTCTGGGCCTTTAATCAACAATCAAGTGTAAAACAAACGTAACAATTCATTCATTTCAACTGTTGCTCCACTTGTTAGCATTTCTCCAGCCAACCAACCAAAATCAAATGTAAAAGAAACAACTCTAAATCTCTACAAGGTGTGATAAGAGAGAAAGAAAAATAGAGAGTGGAAGGAAATTAATAGTAAATTCCAGGAGAGGTACAATAAAATATATAAGGGAATTTTTTTATAAAAATTATTTTAAATATAAAATAATTAATACAATTTTTTAAGAATTAATTAATTTTTATTGGAATTTTTCTTTAAAAACATTTAAACAAATTTATTTTGAATATTGAAAGTCTCCACTTTGTTACTAACAAAGAGAGCATGGAAAGCAATTCTCCAAAAAAATTTCAAATGCTTTTACGAGTAAAAAGCCACGTCATTGCCATCCGTTAGCAAAATTTTACAAGAGCATTCGTGTGTTGCTGGTGTATACTTGAATCCAGTAGGCTTTTAGCCTCCGAGCGGATAACTATAGAATTTTAACGAAAGCGCAGTGTTTGTGTTTAACAGTGACCAAAAAAGAAGAAAAAAAGAGATATAACTTATAAAAAATTCAAAAAGTTGAGAATTTCAAATTCAAACAGCTAGAAAGAAAATTCAACTGAAAATTTAAATAAAAGCATTTAGTAACAACAGCTTAATAAAAAAAAGGAAATTTAAAAAATTAAAATTAACTCCTAAAAATTTTGTGTGCCAAAAAAAAAGAAGTAATAAAAAAAATCAATTTTGCCTAAAAGAAAAAAATCATAATTACTCAATATTAAATATTAATTAGCCAATACAGTTGCTAAAAATACACATACACTGTAATAAATATTAATTGAAAAATAACATACATAATTACAACTCAAAAAAAAAAACAACATTTATAAAGTAACTAACAATTTAAATTAAAAAAAAATTTTAAAGGTAAAAAAAGGGTTTTAATAAATAAAAAAATATTTAAAGAAATATATTTTTTTAAATAAATATTTGCTACAAAATTTGATTATAAAACCTGTGTATATATAAAACTTTATAGTTAAACGATCGGAAACGAACTTTATATTTCAGCAAAAAAAAGTACTAAATGAAAAAAAAAACGGCCATACAAGCAATACATACAAACAAATGTACTTAATTTTTTTTATATGTACACACACTTACATAAAAACACACATACACACTCACAGTTAAAAAAAATATTAACCAAATAATACTTTGCAAAATACATAATTTTTATTTCATTTTTGTGTTTTTTTTCCATTAATAATTGAATTTAAATCCAATTGAAAAAAAAACAACAACTTTAAAATGCATTTCAATTTTTATGGTCACATGCAGTAAAATTTATTAAAAAATATATTTTTATTAAAGCTATTAATTTTATTTCATTAATAAAATTAATTCGTGTATGCCATTAAATTGATGCAAATTTGAAAATAAATGAAAATTTTTTTAAAATACTTTTTTAATATTAAAGAACTTTCTGGAATATAACACTTCAAATAAAAGAAATTTTTTACTTTAATGAAAACAGACTTTTTAAGAATTCACATTTTTAATTGACTTTTATAATATCAAGAAATGTTAATGGACAATTGATAAGCAAAGTTCGCAGATGTTATAGAGAACAGATACAATTATTAGTTATAAGACCTTGATTGTTCTTGATCAAATTAATTTAGAAATCATAGAATTAACATCGAAAAAGAGATTCAAAGCTGTGTCATTTCGACAACGCAACTTCCTGTTTGACAACATAGTGTTATCACTTTGGTAACACCGTATTATTTTTTTGTTGATTTGAAAACGTCATGTATTTTTTATATTTTTGTTGTCGATTTGACAACTATCCGTTCATACTTTGACAACGATGATGTTATTGAAAAATTATAAAACTTTTGGTATCAAATTGGTACCAATGTAATTTAAAAACGTCTTTTTTGCTTCTGTGTATATATAGAAATAGAACAGAAATATGATTTTCCAAATTTTGTAAGAAAAATATTCAAACTCTCATATATGTCAAAGTACGAAGTAACAGAAACTCAAGCAATAATCGAAATTATTGATTGGTCAGAGCCTGATCTATTCACTGATGATATACATAAATACCAAGCATGAACTCGGTGATGACTTGTAGTTTTAACACCCTTTTTGCAGGTACTTATTTAAGTAGTTAGTTGTAAGCGAGCGTAGTAAGTACTTGCCTCATATGTCATCATTCACTTCCAAAGTAGAAAGTAACAGAAACTCAAGCAATAATCGAAGGTATTATGATTGGTCAGAGTCTGTTTTATTCACCGATGAGATACATAAATACATACTCAGCTACAACTCGGTGATGACTTGTACATACCCAACTACTTACTTTTCAAGGACTACTACATAGCGTCTGCATTACTTTTGAGTACTCTTATCATGACTTTCATATAATCAGATATGTAAGTACATTATTTTGTGTTTTGCGAATTAACGAACAAGAGGCCCAGGATCTTATTCTGTGTGAGCAATTTTTTATGCGTAAAAGACAACAACTTTTCAACACGCTTTTTGCAGGTACTTATTTAAGTAGTTATTTGTATGCGTGCGTAGTAAGTACTTGCCTTCAATGTCATCATCGTGTAGAAATAAGTTTAAATGCTAATAGTGAAAAGCAGGTTTTTAGTTTTTCTTTTTTACTCATTACTTATCAAAGTAAGTTTTTGCTGGGTATGTTTACAATATGATAAAAACTATATATGCTATAGTGGAGAACTCAACGATAACAGTTCAATTCAAAGTTTTTGGATTAGTTATGTGTCAAAAAACTGTGTCAATGAAATGCAAAAAGTTCTGAAAGGTTATCGAAAAGCTAGTTTGGTGGGAAGCATATTTTGCTCTGTCTTTGTTTAAATTCAATTCATGTCTTACAAGTTCTAAAGTTAACCACTAACAAAACGGAGGCCACTACAAGTTCTAAAATCTGCGATAAAATTAGGATCTTTAATAAATACTCTAATTTTCTTGGTTGGATTCGTCACAAAAGATTAAGATTTATTTCATTAAATAAAACCATTTTTGCTAATATTCAACCCCTTTTAATTTTCCATGATTTTAAATTTTGACCTGTAACTATTCCGCCCCATTCTGCAGCAAATTTTTCCCACCACTATACTAATCTCTTTTACGTTTTTTTGTGGCGTAGTTCTTGGCCCACGAAATTATAATAACTAAGAATATTTATTTTAAATTAATAATTTTTTTTGTGTATTGCTTTCATTTCAATGAAATAAACCAGATGAGTTGCAAGCACAAATATTACAAGAGATAAATTTCCATAAAGTGTATAAATAAATAGACTTGAAATTCACTTTTTTTCTTCTCAGTTGCCACCAACAATAACAACAAAATATGTACCAAAAGTATACTCATTAATCGTTTCAATAACAAATAATTTGTTTTGTTAATTTGAACGAATCAAAAAAAAAAAAAAAAATTAAGAAAAATTTCACAACAGAAAATTGTGTATGAAAATATTTATTGAACATGAAAAAGGAGAAAAAAAAACTAAAGAAAATCTTTACATCTGCCATTAAGACTACTTGTCCAATTGTAAGACAGTTTGGAGGAACAATGGCTGTCTCTAATAAACACAGTGTCTGTTTTAATTGCCACACAGATATGAGTAGGAATTATTTTGTTTTGTATATTTATTTATTTCTGTTACTTGGCATTTTGTTTAATTTATTGTTAAAGTTTCTTATAAATGAGTCTGCTTGAACTTTTTTTATATTTTTTATTATCACATAGAGTAAACATACCGTGTGTTAGCAGGAACAATAACCTAGACCTACTTTTATATTACTCCATCATAAAACACAAGAAGAGAAGTTTATTTTATTAACCCACTTGACCGACCTTCACTATTGAACTTTTGCTGGTTGTTCCAGCAGTTTTATGATGAAAAAGTTTTCTTGACTTTTAAAGTTAATATAAGACATAAATATGTCAAATATAGAAAACATAAACAAAATGTTTATGTTTTATGTTTAAAAAAGAAAACATAATAAAATATAACAATAGAAAGCTATAAAAACAAAATTGACTTATTTTCTTAAATGTAATTGAACGCTTTCATAAAAATAAAAATATTTTCCATTATTAGCAGTTACATTTCAATATTAAATTTTAACATAAATAAACCAACAAGCTGAAATTTAAATTCAATGCACTTTGTCTTAAATTGAATTTATTCAATTGACAGCCACAACAAAAAACTGAAACTGTCTAAATAAACCTAATGGAATGTTTTTTTTTTTCCAAAAAATTTCTCTATAACTTCAAAAAAATTTATTTAATATGTCAATTTTCGTTTTTAAATTTAACGTCAAACCATAATGTTCAAAATATTGACGTTTTGTTGAAAATGCGTTTTTATGAAAAAATGATGATACATTTACCTGTCTTAAGGTATAATCACATGAACTCTGAAAATTCCTGAAATTTTCAATTTTACTCGCCACCACATGTGTGGTTAATTTGCGTTTAATTTGTTTTTACGTCAAAATGTTCTTTAAAAATGCTAATGGATGGTTTTTTTAAATAAGTTGTTTATATACAAAAACATCATTATTCAAAATTATATACAATAGGCTTATTTTGGTAGCTTTGTAATATCATTATCTACGAAATTTTCTTTATTTTAAAACCAATCATAAATAATAAGTCCGACAATACTTGTCAGTTACTGTAGCAATTTAAAAAAAAACAAATGTCAAAATATATAAACTTCAAGTAAAATTAAATGTGAATTCCAAACAATTTTTAAAAAGTCTTAAAAGTAAAACCCGGTTGATAGTTTCCAAAAACATAAAAGTTGAAAGTGTGAACACTGTGTGAAAGAAAATGTACTATTAGAAGAAAGTACCATAGCATCACCATAAAAAACTCTTTATGTTTCTGTTTTTAGGCAAGGTTTTAAAGAAAATTCAAGAAATATCGTCCGAATAGGGAAAGTACTAAATAGTAAATTCTCTTAGTTATTGTTTTATTCTAAAAGTACCATTAGAAGTATAAAAAAGTACCAAAAACTCCATTCGTTTCTAATTCAATCATAACTGTGCATGTTTAGTTTCAATATTTTATGCAAATATTGTTGACAACTCAAAAAGTACCAAAATGAACGAAAAAGTACCAAAAATTTCCTTCCTATAGATATAGAAAGTCCTAAAAAGTTCCCCCTTTTAGATTCTTATTCAAGCAGAACCAAGTGTGTTTAAATCCATGTGTTTTGACTCCATTTTTTTAGAAAACTTAAAAAGTACTATTTCCTACATACTGGTTCCTACATGTAAAACTGTATCTTTCTAGGTTCAACATCAAAGTAATTTACAAATATTTTGAAGAACTAAAAAGTTTCAGAAGTTTCCTGAAGTTTATAGCTGTAAAAAGTACCACACATGTTTGCTCTTTTAGATTCTCATTTAATCAGAATCGCATGTGTTTTGATTTCATATTAGAGAAAACTTAAAAATTACTATTCGAAGAATGAAAACGTAACAAGGAATCTCTTCCTATAGATTCCCATTCACTAAGGTTCCTATCACACTAAGTTCCATATGTATAATTTGTAGAACGAAAAAGTACCAAAAAGTTTCTTCTTATATATTTAAAAAGTACCAAACATGTTTGCTATTTTAGATTCTCATTCAAAAAGAAGCGCATGTCTTTATAGAAAATTTAAAAAAGTACTATTTGAAGAATGAAAAAGTACCAAGGATTCCTATTCACTATGGTTCCTATCAAAGTAAATTCCAAATGTATAATTTGTAGAACGAAAAAGTACCAAAAATGTTCTTCTTATAGAATTAAAAAGTACCAAACATGTTTGCTCTTTAAGATTATCATTCAATCAGAATCGCATAATACTTCAAAAGTACTATTTGAAGAAAGTACCAAGGAGTCTCATCCTACAGATTGCCATTCACTAAAGTTTCTACATGTTAAAACTTATCTTTCTAGGTTCAATATAAAAATAAATTCCAAATGTATAATTTGTAGAACGAAAAAGTACCAAACATTTTCTTCTGATAGAATTAAAAAGTACGAAACATCTTTAAGATTCTCATTCAATCAGAACCGCATGTGTTTTGAATCCATATTAGAGAAAACTTAAAAAGTATTATTTGAAGAATTAAAAAGTACCAAGGAGTCTCATCCTTTAGATTCTCATGTTAAAACTTATTTTTCTAGGTTCAATATTGAAATAAATTCCAAAAGTATAATTTGAATAACGAAAAAGTACCAAAAAGTTTCTTCTAGTTCAATCGAAACCACATACATAATACTTCAAAAGAACTATTTGAAGTATTAAAAAGTACCAAGAAGTCTCTTCCTACAGATTTCCATTCACTAAGGTTCCTATATGTTAAAACTTATCTTTCTAGGTTCAACATCATTGGAAATTCCAAAAGTATAATTTGAAGAAGGAAAAATGGCCAGAAAGTTTCTTCTTATAGTTTAAAAAAGTTACCAACAGTTTGCTCTTTCTTAACCACCCTCGCATCCATTACCTCCTGCCAATAGCACTATATTAAAACCATCAATTTTAAATAATATATTTTTACTTAATTTAAAACTCATATGTGTTTCCTTTCAGATTTTTCCCTGCAAATTTATTAAATTATTTTGTTTTGTTTTCAGTGGAGAAAAATGTAATGGAAAAATGCAAAAAAGAAATAAAAACGAGTACAAAGTAAATGTTTACAATAGTAAACAAAAAAACACTAACACACTCTCACTTACAGACTCTCAACTATAATAAGAAAGAAAATTAATTAAATTAAAAATTTCAAGTAAAAGTTAATACTAATAAAAGTAACAAAAAAACACAGAAAAAATTAATATAAAAAAATTTTCAATTAAACGATTAATCAAAAATTTTAAAAGGGTTCAATTCATTTTGTATTTGATTCATAAAAATGTATAATCAAATACTTATTTAACAACAACAAAAATAGAAAAAATAAAAATTTTGTGTACGAAATCAATTATAAGTAGTAATTGAATATACAATTTTTGTTAAAGGTTGAACTTCAAAAAATAAAATAATTGAAAACGAGGTTTTGGTAATTGAAATCGTTTTTCAGTTTTTTCTGTGAACATTTAAACAATTAAAAAAAAAGAATCGAAAAAAGTAATTAAATTTGAAACAATATCAAAAAAAAGACTAAATTAGTACAGAAACAAAAAAGTAATTATTTATGTAAAACAACATTTAATGATCAATAATTTTATTTTATTATTTTTCAGTTGTTATTATTTGTTGTTGTTGTTGTTTTTCATAAATATTTTATAAAGAATCCGAAAAAAACAGTAAATTGACTAAAAAATTTAATACAAATACTCTTAGATAGAAACAGAAATTTGTATATAAAAAAAAAGTACCAACACAACATTTTTACTCATATAAATAAAGAATTTATAGTATGTGAGTTTGTATATGTGAGGAAAATAAGAAAAAAAAAATAAATATACAAATACACACACTCACACACACATTTGCACATTAAATTATCGTTATAAAGAAAAAACAATAATATAGAGTTCGTATACACATCGTATTAAATCGAAGACGGACGGACAGAGTAAACAGCATCAAAATTGCCTTTGATTATTTTATGAAGAAGCCATTTTTCGCTTCTTCTTGGTCTTATTTGTTGCCGTTTTATTTGAGTTTCTCTTTTTTTTCGTGTTTTTGCAAATGTTTACCTAAAATTTTTGTTTGTGCGCTCATGTATTTACAGTTATTTTATTTTTTGTGTTGTTGTTATTGTTGCTGTATTTTTTTCGGACAAACCAACGAGTTGCTGACAGTGTAGTGCAGTATATAAAGAATTTTGAAGAAAAATAATATAAAAATCATAGCAAAAAAGAAACAAAAAATATATGTAAAATATCCCAAATAAAAGAAAATAAATTAAAAGAGCCCAACAAGTAAGCAAATCAAAAATAAAGTAAATTCATTTGTAATACAAACATTTGAAATAATATTGAAATTGAAATAGTACACACAGTGCTACACACCGTCAACAAATTTATTGTAGTAAGTGAAAACGTAGAAAAAAATTTCTAAACAAATATTCATGGAATTCTGGAACAACTAATAAAATAAAATATCAGCAGATTGTTTTGAAAAAAAGGTGAGTAAAATGGGGCTATAATAAAAGAACAGCAAATATAAACATTTAATATAAATAGTTTGAAAAAGTTTTATAAAATAGAATTCACTCAGTTTTGCTAAGAATTACAGAAAATTAAAGACGAAATATTGAAAAACATGCAAACTTAAACTAGTTCTAGTTCAGTTCTAGTTAAGTTCTATTTCAGTTCTAATTCAGTTCTAGTTCAGTTCTAGTTTAGTTCTAGCTCAGTTCTAGTTCAGTTCTAGTTCAGTTCTAGTTCTGTTCTAGTTCAGTTCTAGTTCAGTTCTAGTTCAGTTCTAGTTCAGTTCTAGTTCAGTTCTAGTTCAGTTCTAGTTCAGTTCTAGTTCAGTTCTAGTTCAGTTCTAGTTCAGTTCTAGTTCAGTTCTAGTTCAGTTCTAGTTCTGTTCTAGTTCTGTTCTAGTTCTGTTCTAGTTCTGTTCTAGTTCTGTTCTAGTTCTGTTCTAGTTCTAGTTCTAGTTCTGTTCTAGTTATAGTTCTGTTCTAGTTCTGTTCTAGTTCTGTTCTAGTTCTGTTCTAGTTCTGTTCTAGTTCTGTTCTAGTTCTGTTCTAGTTCTGTTCTAGTTCTGTTCTAGTTCTGTTCTAGTTCTGTTCTAGTTCTGTTCTAGTTCTGTTCTAGTTCTGTTCTAGTTCTGTTCTAGTTCTGTTCTAGTTCTGTTCTAGTTCTGTTCTAGTTCTGTTCTAGTTCTGTTCTAGTTCTGTTCTAGTTCTGTTCTAGTTCTGTTCTAGTTCTGTTCTAGTTCTGTTCTAGTTCTGTTCTAGTTCTGTTCTAGTTCTGTTCTAGTTCAGTTCTAGTTCTGTTCTAGTTCTGTTCTAGTTCTGTTCTAGTTCTGTTCTAGTTCTGTTCTAGTTCTGTTCTAGTTCTGTTCTATTCTAGTTCTGTTCTAGTTCTGTTCTAGTTCTGTTCTAGTTCTGTTCTAGTTCTGTTCTAGTTCTGTTCTAGTTCTGTTCTAGTTCTGTTCTAGTTCTGTTCTAGTTCTGTTCTAGTTCTCTCTAGTTCTGTTCTAGTTCTGTTCTAGTTCTGTTCTAGTTCTGTTCCAGTTCAGTTCTAGTTCTGTTCTACTTCTGTTCTAGTTCTGTTCTAGTTCTGTTCTAGTTCTGTTCTAGTTCTGTTCTAGTTCTGTTCTAGTTCTGTTCTAGTTCTGTTCTAGTTCTGTTCTAGTTCTGTTCTAGTTCTGTTCTAGTTCTGTTCTAGTTCTGTTCTAGTTCTGTTCTAGTTCTGTTCTAGTTCTGTTCTAGTTCTGTTCTAGTTCTGTTCTAGTTCTGTTCTAGTTCTGTTCTAGTTCTGTTCTAGTTCTGTTCTAGTTCTGTTCTAGTTCTGTTCTAGTTCTGTTCTAGTTCTGTTCTAGTTCTGTTCTAGTTCTGTTCTAGTTCTGTTCTAGTGTTCTGTTCGAGTTCTGTTCTGAGTTTCTGTTCTAGTTCTGTTCTAGTTCTGTTCTATCTCTGTTCATAGTTTCTGTTCTAGTTCGGTTCTAGTTCTGTTCTAGTTCTGTTCTAGTTTGTCTAGTTCTCGTTCTAGTTCAGTTCTAGTTCTGTTCTAGTTCTGTTCTAAGTTCTGTCTAGTTCTGTGTGCTAGTTTTTCTGTTCTAGTTCTGTTCTAGTTCTGATTCTAGTTCTGTTCTATATTCTTTCTAGTTCTTGTTTCTTCTAGTTCGGTTCTAGTTATGTTCTAGTTCTGTTCTAGTTCTGTTCTAGTTCTGTTCTAGTTCTGTTCTAGTTCTGTTCTAGTTTATCTCTAGTTCTGTTCTAGTTCTGTTCTAGTTCTGTCTAGTTCTGTTCTAGTTCTGTTCAGTTCTGTTCGGGCAGTTCATGTTCTAGTTCATGGTCTACTTCTGTTTCTAGTTCTGTTCTCAGTTCTGGTTCTATTCTGTTTTCGAGTTCTTTCTAGTTGCGGTTTCTATAGTTCTGTTCTAGTTCTGTTCTAGTTCTGTTCTAGTTCTGTTCTAGTTCTGTTCTAGTTCTGTTCTAGTTCTGTTCTAGTTCTGTTCTAGTTCCGTTCTAGTTCTGTTCTAGTTCCGTTCTAGTTCTGTTCTAGTTCTGTTCTAGTTCCGTTCTAGTTCTGTTCTAGTTCTGTTCTAGTTCTGTTCTAGTTCTGTTCTAGTTCTGTTCTAGTTCTGTTCTAATTTATTTCTGTTATAAGTAGTTGAGTTCTTTGAAATTAAATACTCTGAATATTATTTAAAAGAGTTAAAAATTTTAAAATTGTACCAAAAACGAAAAAAAAATACTTTCTATAATGTACATAATAAGAGCCGGAAAAGTACATTGTAATAAAGTATAAAATAAAAAAGTACTTTTTAGACAAAACACAAATCTAATAAAAACTTAAAATGTATTTTGTAATAACGTGTTTTTAAGTACTTTGTTATAAAATACACTTCTGTAACCAGTACCAAAGTAATAAAAATTACTTTGTAATAAAACATACATCAAAAGGTACTTTATAGCTAGAACAACATTGTATTACTTATAAAATAAAAACTTAAAAGGTTACTGATTTCCCCTTAGTTTTAACGATAAACGTCCCAGTCCGTTTAATATCCCTTAGGTATCATGAAGGGTCCTTTAAAAAAATCTCTTAATAAAATCTTTAAATTATTTGTTGAATATTCCACGTGCTATCTACATGCTGTTTTAAAATTTATAGTATTTAAAATTTTCCTAAAATTTTTTTTGTTCATCTCTTGCATCTTTATCACGGCATACAACCTTCATTAAAATTTATGAGTCATTCAGGTTTTATTGTTTTAATATTTAGTTAAAGAAATACAAACATTAAAGTACTAGATAATTCCAACTAATAAATAGTTTTTTCCTAATAAAAAAGCAACTACATGTTTATATAACTAAGTCCAAGTAAAAATTTAAATAAACATAATTTAAGAATAAATATTTGAAAATATATTTGAGAATATGTTTCAATATTGCCAAATGTTTTTTTTAAAGAAATTAAACAAGAACTTAAGTATTTATTAAATACAAAACAATTAAATAACATTTAAAAAAATTTAAGAACCAAAATCAGGTGTTAAGATTTTTTTCAAAATCATGTTGACGATTGCTATATGAGGTGTCTTTGCCTTTTACGAGTAAGCACACAAAAATAGATTCTTTTAATTTTTTTTTTTTTTGATTTTTTGCTTTGTATAGCAAATAAATTTTTTTGTTTATAAAATTGTTAAATATACAAAAATTGCTTTGAGTTGAAAAAGTAAAAATCAATGAATATTTTGTACAAAAACTCAATTTGCCAACAATGGTATAGACACAACAACAAAACAACAAATAATTTTGGAAAGAAATATTTACTCAAATTTTGATAATCAGATGGAAAACATTTTGTAGTACATTAAATTTGTGGCAAGTTGGAAATAGTTGAAGATTTGTATATGCCTTGGGATATTGAACGAGGGTGGTTAAGATAAGTATTCAAAAAAGTAAGAAATTAATAAAGATTCTTTTTTTTCAGCTTTTAAAACCTAACAAATAGGAAATTATTAATAGTTTTTTTAATTATTTTCTTACTTATTATCTTTCAGAAACTTATTTAAAAAATTTCAATTGAAATTTTCTTCTCTTAAAATTCAATTACCATTCATTAAACCCTGTACTGTAAACATTGTAACAATATTAATAATAATGATACAACACAATAATAGCATACTTTACATATGTTTATATGCAAATGTGCGCAAAAAAATATGCAAAAATAAGTAAAGTAAGGAAATTATGTTAATTTCATTAACAGAGTTTAAATGAAAATAATAATGATAATACAAGTACAGAAAAAAAAACAAGAAAATAATGTTTTTAATATGAAAACAAACCCACCACAATCAACAGATGTACAATAAATACTATTAAAGTACTTTATTTAACAACAATAAGAACGAACATCAGTAGAGATAATATTGAGGCCGTACTGCAAAACAATTGAAATAAATAGTTTTTTCGTCTTCTTTGTTGTTTGTTTTTTGCTGACTCTCGAATTCATTTACAAAAGAAAAAAAAACAAGAATACAAGTACAATGTGCATATTTACGTTTAATTTCCATAAACTTGGCATATAAAATGCTTAACTTTTGTCTACCATCAACATAATAATAAGAATAACAATTACGATAAAAAAATGAAAAGATCTAAAAAATAAACACCTTTTAAAAGAGAATTCTTTAGGGAAGTGAAATGTAGTGGAAGGGGTAAAAATAAACATTTAAAAAGAATCGTTATTACCTCAGTTAATGTAAAATTTAATTACATATGTTTAGTCTACTTTTAGGGAGGATAGCTAAGGAGGTGGTAAATTTCAGTTCAAGTTAAGTTATGTTTCATTTCTAGTTCAGTTCTAGTTCAATTCTAGTTCAGTTCTAGTTGAGTTCTAGTTCAGTTCTAGTTCAGTTCTAGTTCGGTTCTAGTTCGGTTCTAGTTCAGTTCTAGTTCTAGTTCAGTTCTAGTTCAGTTCTAGTTCAGTTCTAGTTCAGTTCTAGTTCAGTTCTAGTTCAGTTCTAGTTCAGTTCTAGTTCAGTTCTAGTTCAGTTCTACTTCAGTTCTAGTTCAGTTCTAGTTCAGTTCTAGTTCAGTTCTAGTTCAGTTCTAGTTCAGTTCTAGTTCAGTTCTAGTTCAGTTCTAGTTCAGTTCTAGTTCAGTTCTCAGTTCTAGTTCAGTTCTAGTTCAGTTCTAGTTCAGTTCTAGTTCAGTTCTAGTTCAGTTCTAGTTCAGTTCTAGTTCAGTTCTAGTTCAGTTCTAGTTCAGTTCTAGTTCAGTTCTAGTTCAGTTCTAGTTCAGTTCTAGTTCAGTTCTAGTTCAGTTCTAGTTCAGTTCTAGTTCAGTTCTAGTTCAGTTCTAGTTCAGTTCTAGTTCAGTTCTAGTTCAGTTCTAGTTCAGTTCTAGTTCAGTTCTAGTTCAGTTCTAGTTCAGTTCTAGTTCAGTTCTAGTTCAGTTCTAGTTCAGTTCTAGTTCAGTTCTAGTTCAGTTCTAGT